GGCCGATAAGTCCAGAGGGACGGTTGTGTACTGTATAGGCTACCATCAGCTTGACACCAACAGCCTGTGAGCACTGATAAGAGGACGCGTTACATCACTACCTGCCCACCTTTCCCTTATCAGTCCAGCCTCACAGATCAGTGTCATGCAGTTTTGCTGTTTCTCCGAAGTCTCAGTAGATGTATTGCATTATGTAATTTGTTTTTATTACTCACACTCAATGAAAAATACCACGCAATAAAGATGTAAATTAAAAAGCTTTTGCATCTATCCCCCTTGAGTTGTTGTAGTTTAACTTTCTTCCCTCCTCGATTTTATCTCTCTCTCTGCATCCGTCCGTCTTTCTCTCATTTCGTCATTTCATTCTCTTTTTCGTTCATTTCCCGACAAGCGCCGGTCCACTGGGATATGTTGAAGAGCCCTCCCACTTTCAAACCCAATTAGATCAAGCATCCATGTAGATTTGTGCGAGAATTCCCCACTTATCCTGACATGAAGTTTACACAACTGGTGAATGCACGCACTCACGCACACACGCATTAACACACCTCATATCACTGCGTCGCTGTCACAGGTGAGAAGTGAAGGAGGGGAGCTAAAGGAGTGACGAGAGAGAGTAAGAAGTGTGAACAAGGGAGTAAGAAAGCAGAAGAAGAAGATCCTGGAATCATCAAAGGGTAAAAATAAACACTTCCTCCGCAAGTCACTGCTGTGTTCATGTTCTTTGTCAGTTTGGTTAAATAATGGTTCAAGGGTGGATGAAACTAAGGTAAAAGATTATTTAAAAAAGAAAACACAGATGATCAGGCAACCCAGGTTGATAGACACCTGTCATTCAAACAGCTGGTAAGAGGTTCAGCTGTGTTTAATGAATCAGGAAAGGATGTATACTACACCCCAAATCATGCTTTTTATTTATTAGAAATTACAAGCACAGAAGGAGCTGCATCAAAGCTGCACTAATCAATGTTTTTATATCAGCAATGGATCAAGTATATAGTATAGTGTATAAAGTGAAAGGGGTTGTTATTAAATTTCAAACCCACAGAGAATTATGACCCAACTCTGCAGTTCCTCAGCTCTACTGAGCGTTTCAGACTCTACGTGTAAGTTTTTTCTCTGCCGCCGAACATCAAAAAATGATGAGACGAGTCGGAGCTAGCTAGTTAGCGTGCTAGCTTCAGTAGAAGAAAAGACGTGATAGAGACACGAGTTAACATTGGTGTTGCTGACAACTCTTTGCGAGTGAAGGAATGAAGTTGGATGCTGAACCTGCAACATTTCCTCTACACTGGTAAGTAAACAGCTGTTATTTCGCTATGTGATATCAAGACGTACAAATAGCTTCTTTAAAGCTTGTTGTATTGATTTTCTGATCTACAAACTCCACTCTCATCACCCTCGTTTCCAGCTCCAGCAGGCAACTGTTTTCAGCTCTTGTTAAGCCACTGCACACGACCTGCCCAGCAACAAACAGCAGGCAGACAACGTTAGCAACTAGCTGATGAACATACTGGAGCATTTAGCAGCTAGAAAGCCAGATAGTTCCCTCAAGAGCTGGTGAAGAGAGAGAATATTTCACTCGAATTAATCAGGAGAGCAGAAACACAACTCCAAACGAATGCTAATGCTTCTGCACGTGTAAATTAGCAATTGTTTCATGATAAGTTTATGTGTTGATGTGTTTTCAGCTTGTTCTCCCGCCCATAAGAAGCCAAAACATCAACTAATGCATCTTTAAGGATATCTAATAAACTGACTCAGCAAAATCTACGGCCAGTGGATTTTTTTCTCAATCTAAATCTGTAAAATCAGTGCTTTTATTTCTATACCTCATCAGCATCTAAAGCGTCACATTTGACGGCTTGAATGCTGCAATCAATATCTTTCAGTGGAACCGGGAATATAGGGCTACATTCAGTGACAGGCTTCACCGGCACAATGTCCTACATCGCATAAAACCACTGACCTGCAGAGCTGCACTGTGGCTTTTCACATGGCCGATAATGTGTTTAAAGCCCCGTCACCGCCTCCACCCTCAATTGCGAGGCCAGTTGAAGGGGTAACACTTGCCAATAGGAAAACTCTCTCCTGTCACCTGAAATGCCTTCTCATGGAGCCGTGCACAGTCCTCAGCTCCACGAGAACAGATGAGGATGCGCCAGGAAAAGAGCATCGAGCCACTTGAGATTTGGCTCAAATATAAACAAAGCCAAAGTCAATACAACGCATTAGCATCAATAAATTAAAACTGAAGTAGGTCACAAACACAGGCGTATTTCCCAGGTTAATGAAGGCAGAGTCCTGTCCAATATTTATTTGTGTCTGGCCTGTATGTATCCAACGAGGCTCGATGTGACATTTCCAAAAAAATCAATAACTTGGTCAGTCAGATTTTGTCTGAGTTGCTGAAGCGAGACAGCTGAATCAGGAGTGTTGACAGCTACTCATGTAAAATCATGATCGTCAATCTCCACATCAGGGCCGAGGGAATGAACATACACACACACACAGTACTGTACACACACCGGCACACTGTTAACTATATAAAAAACCACACTTCTTTTTTTTTTTTCTTTACTAAATTCCTCAATCTGTCCTAAATATAACAACACTGTTCCTCCGTTTATTCATCCAGGTCGTCAGTCTATCACAGGGCTGACATATAGAGACAAACAACCATTCACGCTCACATTCACACCTACGGGCATTTTTAGAGTCGCCAATTCACCTGCTGTTCTCGTCTTTGGACTGTGGGAGAACCCACGCTGGCACGGGGAGAACGTGCAAACGCCACACAGAAAGGCTAGTGATGAACAACATCCTGCATCATCCTGCATCACCTGCTCGCCGCACATCTTTCTTGTTCCCTCTCTTCTCTGTGGCTCCTCTAGCTGGAGACCCAGCAGCAGCAGCAGCTGCAGCCTCGCCTCTGCAGCCACTTCTTTTTTTTTTTTACTATATTTCTGCTGGACAACTTGTCACATGCCAGGGAGAAGGAAAACACCTGTGTTCTGCATGACAGGCTTATTTAAACAAAGCCACATCAGGTCCCGGCTGGCGTGGGACCAGAGCACCAGAGCAGAGCCGGCAGTGCGTTTGTGTCCCACTGCCGTCCTCCAGGCTCCTGTTCAAGTCCAATCGAAACTGACAGCCAAGCAAATGAACAAATAAATAAGTAAACACCATTAAAAATGCACCACACATACATGTGCATAAATAAGTGTTTAATTATTCATGTAGACGCCCCCCCCCCAAGCACACCTCAATATCCATTAGAAAACACAGACGTTGCCTCTGTTTTCCTCTGCCAGTGTCACTCTCCCTGGGAGTGTTGCCTCAGTGGTCAAACTAACAGGAAACTGGCCACAGCTCGCATCATCGCTCACACAGCTGGCAGTATTATGCCTGATGTCCAATTATTACAGAGCTTCGCCGTGCGCTGCAATCCAAATATTTGAGATGAACCTGCTCGGGGAATAGCTCTCAGAGCCGTTAAGAAGCAAATTAAATCAATGCAAGTGAAATGTACGACTCTCTGCTTTATTTAGATAAAGCAGGTGGGTGAGAATTTTAAATTCCCTGCACGGCTCTAACAAACTGAAAAACTTACTCTTATCATTCTTGCTTTAACTCTGCTTGCTAACGTACCAACTCAGATATTACAAAAAAAAAAAAAAAATTCCAGTCTACACCAATAAATCATTACCACATATGAATTTAATTACTGTCAACCAACAAGATTATTGGCTCCTACGCTGTTTTTTTTTTTAACATTGTGTGGCAGCAGGTCAAACATGGAGAGAAATCTAATGAACTGGCTCGTTCTTCTAGAGCCGCAGGTTCAGTGAAACAAACAAGACAAACCTTAGACTGAAGAATCTTCTTTAGAACAAGGAGCAATGTGATTTATGTTGTCAGAATTTGGACGAAGAGACTAGAAATAGTCTGAACCAAGGTTTATTCATTTACAGCAATTACACATACTACATATGTAACACTGAATTTCCTTTATATTTAAGTATGAAAGAAAAGGGAATAAAGGGAAATAAGATTAGCTTATTTTAGCATAAAGAGTAGAAGCAGTGGGAAACAGCTTCCATCTACCGGCACTTATAATTAAAAGGTCTTTAATCCGTACACAAACCAAAATGTAGAAGCAACAACTTGTGTTTTTTTTACTGTTAGTTACGTGTCAGACTACAGCTGTGTCCCACCTCAGGGGCCACATTCATTGTTCACTGCGTTTAGAGACTGATTGTGTCACTGGGCTCCCCCCTATTTTCGAAGGCTCCTTCAAAATGCAGCCGAGCGATGCGGCTTTCTTTTCCTGGGCAAAGAAGACTTAAACGTACGTATCCCCAGATTCACTGCATGCTGCATGAAAGTAATATGGCCGCAAGCAACACCAACCTAGAGCCCAGAGGATTCACCTTTTAAATGTAAGTGTTGAGTTTCAGCTCGATGCAACAGCTCATGGTACAAAGTTAGGTAGGTTGCTAGGCGACAGGAACGATGCTATGCAACACAAAGGTAAGGGCGGGCAGAGCTGGTGATGCAAAGTGAAAACGGCGGCTACGGAGGCCGCGTCCTCTGAAGGATGCAGACCTCTGAGAATTGGGACGCAGCCTATTTCTAAGCCAGGTCAGTGTCGTCCTGGCGACTTGTTGTTACAGCGAGGTTGACATGCAACCAGCGGCGACTCCAGACTAGTTTGTTTCCCTCTGTCTTTATGCTAAGCTAAGATAAACGTCTCCTTGCTCTAGCTTCACATTGAGCTTATGGACATGAAAGTGATATTGATCTTCTAATTAAATTCTCAGCAACAAAGTGAATAAAAATATTCCCCATAATGTTGAACTGCTCTTTTAAGTGCGGGGGGTGTTGCTTTCAAAATGTAGCGCGCGCAGAAAAACCTGCAATTCATAATTATTTGTTACCCACCGAGACAAATGAACTTCTGGAACGCAGACCTGTGGAGAGAGAGACACAGCACTCACCTCTATGAGTTTGCGTTCATAGCTGGCAGCCAGCTCCTCGATGTCACCCATGAACTTGTTCTGTGGCACGGGGGCCTGATCTTCGCTTGACCGCAACACCGACAGGGCTGCAGCAGAAAGAGAGAGAGAATGCAGGCAGGGTTACACATCTGTACAAATACTATGGCGTGTCAAAAACACACACACACACACTGCGCCGAGAAACTCCTCTCACAATAAATTATAAACAGTGGGTTTCTGCCAATTATGCGCATTGTGTCGTCGTCTGTGGCGAGTGGTGACACCTGCGGCTGTTTGATGCTTTTGTTTTAGCAGCGAGAGACGGAGCACAGGGAGCAGCACATCTATATAACACACACATTACCAGCCAGGAAAGAGCCATGAATCCCCATTTTATTTAATTAATGTCATAAACTGTAGTAGATATGAGTCACGCGCATCACAAAAACACATATAATCATGCGGGTCAGGCGTGCAAACACACACCCACAGAGAGCCGCGCATTAGCACACAAAGTCCTCCTGTTATTGCACGCATACTTCCTTGTACGTACAATATAAAACGCTGTTGCACACACGCATTTTTCTTCCTGAGAAAAACTTCTCTCTGTTTTGTCAAGATGATAAACTCCCCTTCTCTCACCACAGCCTGTTCTACTCTGTTCACACTGAGTTTATTGTTTCTTTGCACTACTATAGCTCACTAACCTGCTAAAGTCATCATGACGGAGCCTAAAGCGCCGCTTCTCAGCCCATAAACATCAGCTAATCGGGTTCCAGTCAGAGTGATAGGAGCAGAGAGAAAGAGAGAGAGTGGAGTGAAAGTACAGACATAGAAATTCAGCATGTCCAAAGGCACAGAGCTCAAATGAACGTGTGGCGGCGGCTCTTTGGGCAGGAGCTTTTAGAAAATGTACTGCTGGACTGTGATTAGATAAAGGGTTAAAAGCCAGCAAGTGTCTGAATGTCTAGACAGAGCGAGGCAGGTATTGACGAGGGAGGTTGTCTCAGACCGCAGGGGGAAAAGCTGCTGAGAATCACAGGCAGGCACAGGTACACAAATAAGAGCACTGATGGACCGAGGGTAGCAGCGTGGTACCAAGGTGGTTTAACGCTTCACTCAAAGGCTATTTGGCAAAAAAGGGAGAAAAGTACTGAACCGAGTGACAGTAAATGTTCAGCGTTCAAGCCACTTTTCCATCGGCTCAATGGAAACCATCGTTGCGGAGGGTGAGAATCATTTTGAGAATAAAGAACAGGTGAACCAAGAGAACCATATTCTTTTGTACATCAAAAGAATATGGGGGGGGGGGGGCTTAGGAGTCAATATGGCGACTATGGCGTCTTTCTCACTGGAGCCAGATTCAATCCAGTGCACCGTGATGTCATCCAGCAAGACGCTGCACTGGCTGATCACATACATCCGATCGTGGATGCAAGCCGGTACCATCAACTGGACTTCCTGGATCATATTTCACCGCCTCACACGGTCTAACACCCCCACCCCCATCCCCACCCCCCCCACCCACTGTGTTGTTTTACTGTGTTAAAACAAATGTCGGTGTGAATGCAGTTTAGGTCTCAACAACTGTTCATCTCATTCTTCTGTGAAACGCCGTCAGACTGGACGGGAAGCGTCTCTCAACAGCCGCTCCTGTGTTATCTTGGCATTGTTGCGCTTAAAGGTCAACGACCTCACTTCACTTATCCTTTGCTGAACGTTCAGATGACGCGTATCAATAATACTGATTCTCAGTCTATTCATTCTAAATGTTCGCACAACTATAGACTTGAGATTCAAAGAATGCGGCATCATTTCCACGTTGAACAAGATCATCACAATTATCTGTGAGCGGAGTTCTCTGCAGGCAGGAACAACTCGACACATTCTGTCTCAGAATATGAAAAAACTTTTCTCCTTTCTGTTTTCTAGCGGTTTTATTATTACAACCTTCAAAAATGAAAAATCAAATCATTTTTACTTTTTGACCATGAAATTGTAAAACTGAAGTAACTGCCTGCCTCGTGAAAAAAACTGCTATTTAAATTTAAATTTTCGTATTTTACTTTTATACTTGTTTTTCTGGTTTTTGAATACCCGTTTCTGAGAGGAAGATGGACCGATTAAAAGACACACACGGCCCTGCAGACAAGCCGCTGCGATGGTCGACCTCGCATCAGGATTTCTGAAGCTGAGGTCAAGTGGCCGCTGGTTTCTCTAGGCCGACTCTAGGAAGAGTCCTGTCGCTCCTGGGAATAAACAAAGCTTTAGAAATGGTATTACAGCCTATCATTACCCTGATCTATTCATCAGCAAAATTTCATCACAGAGAATGGACAGAGAACTCCTCGGATACCGTGGCTTATTTTTGTCCTGTCATGCAGTTTGAATTGTGGGACCTGACACACACAGGCCTGTGCTTTTCTAAATGATGTCCAATCAGTACTTCAGTTTGCCACAGCTGGACTCCAATCAAGTCGTAGACACATCTTAAGGAAAATTAAAGCAAAGAGAACGCACATAACCACAATCTGAAGTGCCACAGCGAAGGGTCCGAAAACGTTTCTAAACGAGAGATTTCAGTTTTTGATTTCTAATAAATGAGAAAACATTTCTGAAAACATGTTTTCACTTTGTTATTATGGACTATTGAGTTTAGATTGATGGACATGTAAATGGCAGTTTTATCTATTTCAAATTAAATCTACAACACAATAAAGTGTGCAGAAGATGAAGGGGTCCGAATGCTTTCTGAAGCCACTGTAAAACAGGAACCACCGTTAGGAACAATCTTAATTAAAAACAAATTTTCCGCGGTCCAATTTTAAATTAATTTTATCATTCCAGGTTTTTCGGAGGCGCTCTTAATGTCAAACTGGTGATGTTCCATTAACAAACCTGCCTCTGTGACCTGCTGCTGCTTCGTGACTCACAATTTGAGTTTTACATTTCTATGAAAACATGTTTCAACTTGTTCAAATTGCTAATTTGCTCAGAGCAACAATTAAAATACTCAGAGTGATTCACTTCATAACGGTCTGAGATGAAGGAAACCTGCAAATCATCACAATTGCCTTTTTTTTAATTAAATTGCTGTCCTTTGTTTTGTTTTTTTTAATGAGTTATCAGCCGATCAATTCTTGTTTCAGTGCTAATTTAGAACCCTGAATAAACCAACAAACACAGATCATAGATGCACTCTCTCACACACACACACACACACACACACACTGTATATAGAGGCCGACGCATTATCATGGTTCCTGCAAAGGCCCCAGCAGCACAGCAATCCCTGAGCTTATCTTTGGCCCACCAATAGCACTGTACCACACACCTCGGTCTGCAGCGTGTGCACACACATGAACACACACACGTGCACACACACACGCACACACACACACACACACACACACAGAATGGAAATATAAATATACATACTGTGTATTTTACTGTAAAAATGACAGTGAGAGACAAACACACAAAAATAGAAACAAGGGCATAAAGAGCAAACACAACACACACACACACACACACACACACACACACACACAACATGGAGGATTGTTGATGGCTGCTCTTGTGATACCAATTTGCCTCAGCTATGAGTTTTTTTCCCCTTAAGTTGGATTTGAGTTACCTGTCAGACTGATAGGCTCTTAATAATGAAACATACAGGTGTGTACGTGTGTGTGTGTGTGTGTGTGCGCGTCTGTGTGTGTGTGTGTGTGTGTGTGTGTGTGTGTGTGTGTGTGTGTGTGTGTGTGTGTGTGTGTGTGTGTGTGTGTGTGTGTGTGTGTGTGTGTGTGTGTGTGTTTGGGGGGGTCGACACAGATGTTCCCGACTCTAGGAAATTGGCAGACAGCTGGTCTGTAATAACAAAACTAACTGAGCAACACTCCCCAGCAGCTGTGTGTGTGTGTGTGTGTGTGTGTGTGTGTGTGTGTGTGTGTGTGTGTGTGTGTGTGTGTGTGTGTGTGTGTGCATGCATGCGTGTGTGTAAAGCCTCACAAATGTTGAGCTACATATGAGCCACACATTAAAGAGTGTCACATCGAATTCTAAAACTGTTTACTGTGTGTGTGTGTGTGTGTGTGTGTGTGTGTGTGTGTTTTGTGCCACACTGTCCTTTTCCCTGAGGTGTGCGTCCCCTGGGTTTTCACCTGAGTGTGTGCATCTCCAGAGGCATCTCTCTAATGATCGCAGTGTGTGAGACAATGAGCCAGTTTAGAGGGGGAGTCCACTGAGAGATGACACACACACACACACACACACACACACACACACACACACACACACAGAGGCCAGTGGGTGCACCTCCACGTGTTCGAATGAGCAGCATTCACAAGTTCTGGCTTTACTTTAGGGGATGTTTTATGTTTCCACTTTACTTGGTGGCAACGTGAAACTGCTCTGAGACATCTGGATAAGCTTTTCCTTCTGCTGTGGCGACATTGGCATCGTATTTATTCCATTTATTACGTATTTATTATATTGTCCACATGGGGACCTTAAACTTCAGATCCCATTCACACCTGGCGTGAACGGGCACTGACGTGATATCCTTCCTGAGTCAGACAAAACACATTAATAGTAATCAGAATCCAATCAGCTGGACGGCTTAACGTTCCTCACATATAAACTGAACATGTGCCTTGCACTTGGCTTCATTATACTGTGTACGAAACAACAGCGAGCGCCTTCCCATTGATAATAGATTCAGGTCGTTGCTGGCGTCCAGTTGTTTCAGAGACTTCCTTCCTTTGTTTTCTTGGGTTTTTCCTCAGACTCCCGGGAGCGCAGAGCTGAGTGACCAGCGGCAAGATAGAGATCATACATAGATAATGGTCTACTGTACAAACACACACACACACACACACACACACACACACACACAGTGGATTCCCCTCAGAACACAAGAGATCTTGAATAAGAAGAAGGAGCAGGCAGGCGGAGCGAAAGACGTGTAAAGAAGCAACAAAAAGGTGGTCGATACCGAGAAAATCAGGTCGGGGGTTATCAATAAATTCAGCCTAATTGTTTCAACGAGCCACGCTCCACGGCTCTTTCATTACTGCCCAATAACCGTGATGTTACATCACCGTGCCAG